GAATATATTTTTTATCCTATCTGATTTTCAGCTGTTTATGGCAATGTTCCTCCTAGTAATCGAACTCAAAACATCTTCATTTCGATACACTGAAGTTGCTTCACAACCTAAAACACAAATTTACACAGTGGTAGAATGCTTGCCAGTCACGCAGGGGGTTCGGGGTTCAATCCCCGGCAGACACACTCCTTTACTTCTCGAGACCAGTAATAAGACTAGTAAAGAGGAAAGGTTGGGCATGAGGCTAGCAACCTCATCCGGTAAAAATAAACGCCACTGATACCCAAACGTTCAAGCTTCTGGCTTGAAGCCCTACGTTTCACTGGGAAAGTAAAAGAAATAAAAAAGTGGTGTGACTTATATTTCTTATGGCATGGAGCTCCTAGCCTCACGCTCAAATCTCTCTCTTTACTGGGACTAATATAAGCCTACAAATCATCTTGATACTTGACATACGATTCGAAAAGGTGTACTTATTGAAATCCTGTATTTTCTCCTTTCTCTTTGATTCCTGTGCCTGAAATACTCCATAATTTCTGGAAAAAAATTATTCACAGATTGTCCCTTCTTATATTAAACGAAAGGATGGGGAAGAACCTCAGAGTACATTGATTTGAAAAGTCACAATATTAGACTGGACTACTGAATACATCTGTATATTGTAGGTGAGAAATACTCAACTGCTTATGCTTGTGATCATCTTATCTGTACCTCGGTAGATGAATACTTCACTTTTAATTGACCAGTCTCCGTGGACGTTCTACAGTTTACTCTGTAGAATTCGTCTTAGATTTTATTTTGAATGATGTTCAGTTGAATCAGACATGATTTTTGTCTGATTAAGAGATTAACTGGTCGGCTTGATAAACCGTCCAGTGCATCATGACAGCCGACCATAACTGACTATATTTATGCTCTTAATTCAAAGCTAACTTCACGGATTCAAGTTCTAGAATATTTTTCAAGGAACTAGGGAGTACTTTGTTCTCTAACCAATGTCACCTCGTGATCAAAATTGAAACAAATCACACACCTACAAACAAACTTTTGAAAATTATTCTGGCTCTCGCCAGTGCCTGACTGCAGGATGAAGTTGACTGGAGGCAGTTCTAGTGAGAAGTCGTGTTCAGTGGGGTTCTTGCTATGTTTCAATTCATGTATAATCCCCATCCAGGCATTAATGAAAACAAAACACGTAGATCAACGAAGAGTCTCTTTTCGGCGAATTCATTATTTTGTATTTAGGTGTACATTAAGTTTGTCGAACAAAAATACAATTGGTTATGGTTATTTAAACTAAACAGGTGAAGATTGGTAATTGGAGTTACGTAATACAAAATCAGTCAAGAAAATTAGGTTTTAATGAAATTAGGGTAGTAACATAGGTGATGAGTTATCACAAACAGTTGTTAAAAGAAGTTATGTAATAATATGAATAGTTTGATGAGTGAGTTTTACTCAGGATGCAAATAGGAACAAAGTATATAATACGAAGTTACGTAAGAGTTCTAAATGAATACAAGAATTATAAGCAATTAAAGAATAGGCAAAGAAACAAAATTAAGTCATCAAAATCAAAAAAGAAATCAAATCAAGAAAGTTCTTACCAAGACAGTAGAAGTGGTTGAGTAATATTCTTTTGTATGCACAGCTCCGGTTTTTCTATGTGAATGGCGAGAGCATCAGCGATATAGAGAAGACGAAACCGTATTGCCTTTGATAGGTTATTCTTGACTACTTTGAAGGAGGCGTTTGTTGAAATGGAATGATTAGTATTAACCAGGTGTTCAATTATCGCACTCGACGAATTGGTAGAAGCTGGAATTCATGGATTGGCCATTGGTCATTGGGTCTGAGTGTTTGAATTATCTACAGGCTTGCTTTGTAACCTGAACGTCCTTGGATAGAACACTGGTCGGTGCGTACTGCTGGAGTCCCGGACTATGATGACAGAAACAACTGTCCAGTACTCTTTGGTTTCCAAGTGGTTCTGCAACTGAGTTCAGCTTGTGATTGAACCACCTGTGGAAGTAGGACAGCATACTGTTTTTTTCTGTGTGTGACGCACACACATCACACATCACTTTCCTATTGATTTCTCTTTCATTTTATATGACTCGTGATCGCCTGGCTTACTAGCACGTCCTATCTGTAGAAACACAGGGAAGGTTAGGTGTAGGCTATTGAGATACCTGTAAACTAGGATTTGAGAAAATGGAGACTACAGCTGTTGCCAGTTACTACTATGAGAGTTCGAAGAAACACATATTTCAGAGTTACATGGTATTATTATTACCGTGTGCAAGTGGAATACACTTCTTGTTTTCTTCTTTCAGGCAGAAATATGACTTTCATGCAACTCGTGTAACATAAACAAAGAAAACAAGTAAGGTGGTTGGAGGCAATCGGACTGATGCTGTCGAGTTCTCACCCTTGTTGGCACTCACCAGTCAGCAAGGCTTATTTGGAATTTTCGAAGAACTCATCCTCCTTGTGAGATCCGAACTCCTTGTCACCCAGTGAGTGCTGCAGTCAGAGATGTCGTGTAGGACTCTATTGGGTACTAGTGTTGCACCTTTAGTCCTAGATATTCGTGCAGACTGAATTCTACTAGCCAATTTCTCAATGTGACCACCAACAGGTTAAGTGGCTCGCTACCACAGTGCACTTTGAATTTGAATTGTTTTTTATTAGATCGTTGGAGTCAATCAGCAGACAAGTGCCAACAACCACGAGACCTAAGTTCAAGGCTTCCGGCCGATTGCCTCCAACCATCTAATAATAACAACAGTGCATCATGATGGCGAGCCGCCATCTAGCCTGCTGGTGGCCACACTGCCAAATTGACTGACAAAAGAACTCAGTCTACACCAAACCATAAAGGTACTAGACGCTTGACACAAGTTACCCTACTACCTGATGTCTAATTCACAGCACAAATGTAACGTGAAGTGTTACTAGAAGAAACAAAATGAAAAAGAGATTAAAACTACACAGGCTATTTTATTGTTCCCAGAATTTATTGAATGATTCTCACAAAAACTCATTGCATGGATAGATAGATAGACATATATAATTAGATAGATAAACAGACAGGCAGATAAATCTATCAAGTGATTGGTTGGTTGGTTGGTTGATACATCAATGCAACAAAACGACCAACATTTAAGAAAATGTGAAGGAAATGTACATGTTATATAGTATTGTATTGTATTGTATTTACCAGCATGAGATTAATAACTGAAATAACAGTCGTAATAATAATAGTATTAGTATTAATCATAACAGGTTAATAGATTTTATATGAATACTGGGTGTCATCAAAATCATCATTATTATTATTATAGTACAATAAAAGTAACAATCATTTGTATACCTCAAGAGTATGCATCGATGGGTGCATAAATCAACCAGTTTTTACATACACACACACACTCGCACTCAAACAAACACAAAGCAGATACTACTCACTAGGCGCTGAAAGAAATAGTTTCTTGTTCTTTTTGTAAAGGAAATAAACAACTTTTAGATTCATGCAAAAGTCACAAAAGTTGAAACATTTCAGGGTTTTGGTATCAAGCCACACACGCACACACACACGCACGCATACACTACGCACATGTGTGTGTGTCTACTTGTTTGTTCCATATCTCTTGACAACCTCGTCATCATGATTGAAAAACAGTGTGACTGTTCAGTTTCCACTACTTCTGTTAGATAAAATAAAATGAAAGGTTGAAAAAAAGATGAACCAAGCTCCATATCACCGAGCATCCTTGTAAATTAGAAGAGAGACAGATAGAGAGAAGGACTTAAAGAAGGAATATGAAATGTATTCATACATATAGTTCTCACATTCAACACTCAGTAGTGTTTTAGCAAAAACACGACACAAGAGTACAAGGCTGTTGTATAAAGCGGAATCAAAATAAGCAGCCATAAAAAGAAATCTGGAGGAACAGGATGTTGAGAAGGAGGGTGATCAGCAGTCGAAATGACTGGTAAGAATGGTTAATAATGCTGTTTATTAAAATAGAGAAGCATTCCATTTGACCGAGGGTATGATGTCAGACACAGTGATTGCCGACATGGGTTGGACAAAATGTGTTACTACTTTAGGAAAGAAGTAAAATGCACGCCTGCTTGCCTTCCTGCCTGGATCACTATCCCAATCTTGTGAATAAGTGTAAAAATGTATATGCATGAGGAGTACATTCTTTCTTGTGTGTTTCTGTCTATCTATCAGTTTCAGCACCTGCACTGATGCTCATTTCCCAACTAGGAACTATTCAAACTGTCGGGGGAAAAAAATAGTATGAAGTGGAGATATCGGAATTTATCAAAATCCTGTTGAGTAATTTACGACTAGCTTTTCCTCTAAAAATACACAATCATTAGCGCTGTTTTCTATGTATTTCTATGCATTGAATGCATATGAATGAGATTGACATCTGTGGTTCTTTCTCCTTATATGCAGAAATTGTTTATAAATAAATCGATCAGTAAATGTGATGAACAACAATCAGGTGAATATGAATAATGAAAAAAAAAAAGGGTAAACAGAACCAATACGATAGAGAGAGAGAGATAGAGAGTTCAGACAACCTGACACGTATTCATCATTTTTGCAATTGTTTATAATTCAAAATAAACAAAACAAAAAATAAACTTGTCAAGGAAAAAAAAATAGGGGGATCAGCAACAGTATTATTATTATTGTTATTATTATTGGTACCTAGATAAAAGTCAGTGTTTTCTTGTGTTTGTGTGTTTGTGTGTGTGTGTGCTTGCTGATAGGTAGGTGTGTCATTTAGAAAAAAACAAATTTGACTGTAGGAGGACATCTGTCAGCGTATTCATTTCATCACTCAATAAATACGTGATTTTGACAATTGTAGCACAAAGGTTATTTAGACAAAAGGCATATTGTATAACAAACAGTTGTGTAATTGTTTGTTTGTCTGTTTGTTTGTATGTATGTATGTTTCTGTAGAATATACTTATTGTTCTTGTGCAGTTCCTGAGGTTATTGACACTTCCTCGTCATCTTCAGCTGCAGTTGCTAACTTTGGTCTTGCAGACTGAGCACCTTTCGACTTGGGATCCTCTGCTTGGCATTCATACCAGTCTCTGTTGTCTTCCAGGGTGTCTAGGACTAACTGAGCACAAGGATGGACAAGATCACACCAGGTTTCCCATAAAGGATGACACACGAAGTCAATGAAACTAACCTATTACAGAAATCAACAAATAAATAAACAAACGAAGACAAGAATGGTGAAATGTTTATTTATACAGTTTGAGTTTGAAAAAAAAACTCGGGGAATTATTATTATAATCCCCTTGGGTTCCATGTAGAACATACAACTTCAACAGAATATCTCCATTTCATCCTGTTCTCCGAAATCCTCTTCATTTGGCCCTACATTTCCTCATAAACTTTCATCTCCTCCGCAGATGATCACCTTGGAACCAACTACACACAACTTGTCTTTTCCTATTCAGGTGCCTGACTGTTTATCGTCAGTGGGTGTCCTATCTATTCACATTTTCTTCGACATGTTCATTGAACAAAAGGTTCTTGATTGGCTCCTTCCTAGAGTTTCTTGTTTCTAATTCTTCCTGACTATCAGATCTTGCTTATGCAGCTGGTGAAGACAGCTACTGATAAAAGTCTACATTAGGCTGTTGGAAAAGCCTTTCGTGACGCGTTGGCCCATACAGAAGCACTGGCTAACTTAACACTGGTGTTGAAAATTCGAAACCACGCCTACTTTACTAGTTCGCTAGTTTTCTAGCAGGTTCTAAGCTCAGGAAGGGAGGTGAGGGTGGGATTGGAGCTAGTGACCCTACCCCTGAAAATCAATCCAGTCGCTATAGAAACTACAAAACCCAGGGAAATACACAACGAAATCTAACAGTATATGAACTGACTTACAACAGTGTTTTACCTTTCTTTGTCAGTATTTTACGTGACATTCCTGAAACTGTTTTGTAATAAGAAGTTATGAAAACTGTGTTCTTTGTGGACCTTAGTTTTTAAACCTACAACACTAGTAGAAGAAATAAATGGGGTTAGAATGAACAGCCTTCAAGTTGTCCATATTCTAATCATTCATTCAGTCAAGCGGACCACACAGTGTACGTGTGTCATCTGAATGATTTAGGTTTCCAAAAGGAACTATGTATATCGGAAATTGCGATTTCGCTTAGCGTATCTCCAGTTCGCCCAAGTAGCTAGCCAAAATTTCGGCGGGTTTGAATTGCTTTGGATTTGTGTGATTAGTCAAACAGGGTACACTTCTGATGACCCTGGGCTAAAACGAGCGGAACAGCAGTCCTGCCTATGGATCACTTCGGTCTAAACAGCAAACACTACTGGTTGGTGTGACTGGTATATATACCTCCTCATCTCACTAGATAAGTAGTATGTGGTGCAATGCATCTACGCTTTCTTTCTTGACTGACATTTGTGGTACCAGGGTGATCATAAATTTTTTTGATAAAAGAGATTATAGTCATCTCATTCATTAACGTGACTTGCATTTTCTTTTTAGTAAAGTGCTTGACAATGAGTGCTTCCCTACTGCTCATATGTTATCAGTAGTATGTACCCTTGTGTCTCGACCAATACTTGGTCGTCGGAGTATAAAGTCTTCTATAGTTGCTTGTAGTCCTATCTGATGAGAGAGTTGTGCGTAGAGAGGATTCTCAGACTCTGACAACATGCTATTCGCCAGTTTCTGCATGTGTCTATCTACATGAGCACTAACAAGTTGGTTTAGCGACATCCCATTCGCCCTACTCACAGCTTTTAGTGCCATTTACAGTGTGACAAACAGAGTGTAGGGGAGCAATAAAGGTAGAATTGGGTAGAATACAAGAATTGATAAACTGTAACCGTAGAGACTAAATTCTACCAGACTGTTTTAACTGCCTTACGTAGAACTTTAAACGGAATATTTTTTTAGATATAGAAAGACCAGGGGAAAGATCAGAGGAAATGCGTAATTCAATTTAATATCAACTTTGGCTCCATTTATGATGGCGAAATCATGCGAACGAACCAGTGTTCATGCAACAATTTTCTCTTGTGATAATTAATCCTTGAAATTACTTTGTAATATTATGCACAAAAAGGTACAAATAACCAAAAAAAACAACAAATCAAAATTGCAAGGAAATGCTGTTGTTTTTCTTTTCTTTGTTTTCAACTCACCTGGGATTTTTCAATTGCTACAGATTCACGATCACACATTGGACTAATTTCAAGCGATAGTTTTCTTTCTTTATCCCCTTGTCTAAAGAATTCTTCAATAAGGCGTCCAGTCCACTTTCGATATAATCTTAACGGTTTAGCTGGATTACTCAAATCAGCACAGTGGATCATATTTTGCAAAATCTATGCATCATCACAATGTAAGATAAAAAATGTTTTTATGTGAGGAATGTAAGGATTAAATATTAATACTGAACTATGCATATTTTAGAAAAAATATCTTAAGATAACTTGACACTGGTAGTGTAACGACAGAAGACAAGAGTCAGGCAACAGATCGTTTAATGAGAAAATCAACAGATTGCCAGTATATAGATAACACCTTCATTCTTTGTGATAATGATTCGGATAGGAGTACAATAATTACTCAATTCAATGAAGTACATTGGGCTATGAAATTCACATGTGAAGAGGAATCCCAAGTCAGTGTTGCCTTCCTGGATGTCCTCCTTACAAGAAAACCAGATGGTGGCATAAAAAGAAATTTGCATGGAAAAAGTACTTGGACAGGACAATATACACATTTTCAAAGCTTCCTTCCTATCAAGTACAGAAGAAATTTAGTGAAGACCCCCAGCCACAGAGTTCGAGCTATATGCTCAGAAGAAGTAATTGAAGATGAATTAAGCATTCTATATGATATGTTAATTGAAAAAAGCTATCCCGACAAATTTATCAAGACACACATGACAAAGAAAGCGGAAAAGGACTACTCACTGTCTGTAAACAAGAAGCCTTTATATATACGACTGCAATTCAAGGGCTATACACCAAGTGAGTTAATTACGAAGAAATGAAGAAAATCAGTTCAAAGAACTTTTAATGCTGGCGAACTACACGTTTTATTCTTTACACGACTCATGGTGCTACCTCGACTGAAAGATGAAGTACCTAGACTAGCTGGCCACTTCAGATTGTATCTACCAATTCAACTGCGCTTGTGGAGTGAGTTATGTTGGCCGTTGCTCTAGGAACTTGATTTTTCGTGCTCGAGAACATCTCCCACTATGGCTAAGTGAAGGTGTAGTTAAAACCATTAACAAACAGTTCAATATTGTACCATCTGGTGCAAACCGGCCACAAAGCCAGCGTGGAAGAATCCTTCTCTATAATCCACCGGGTGCCTAATAAATTGCCAAAATCATCGAAGTACCGCAATCAGAGGCTATTGCAATTCGTCTGAAACAACCAGTGCTCTGTGTTCAAAAGAAGCGAGTCCAGCCTCTACTACTGCCCTGGCTGGACTTCAGTAGAGACTAGAAATTCATGCATTTGTAATGTTATCTTTTCTAATTTTTCTGACATTCAGCTTATTTTATGTTAATGCTATTGTGCTATAATCTATCAATATTACTGATTCGATGTTATTTAAACAACATAAATGTTGCTCATAACACTAATTCATTCATTAACTATAATGTATATATAACTGTAGAGCCTGATGATGAAGTTATCGAAAAGAGTATTTATTCTTTGTTCAGTATCCATTCTTTTGAAAATTTTAATGGGCATTTTTAATCAGATATTTATAGACTTTTATGCACATTATTATCCGTTTTTGTTAGCAGAGAATCAACGTCTTCTGATTGTTTGTTTTCCTGCTGAAGGTTATTCTGTCATCTCTTTGTTGCCGTTTCTTAGTCCGGTGATCTATATCCGCTAATCGTATCCGCCCAAGCTAAGTCTGCTGTGATTGGTTGTTGAGTCCCTCAAGGTTAGTCTTTGTTCTTGTTTTTTCACATGACCCCGATTCTGGACATAAACATTGACGTAAGTTGCTGTCTACCAATTTTGGCGAGCATACAGCTGTCACCACAGTAGTCATGAAATTGTCACGGATTCCATCCGCTCCAACGGCTAAATGCTCAGCAAACCTGCATCGTAACTTAAATCTTCTGGGCTCGATTTCATCCATCTTATATATATATATATACATATATATATTGAAGAAGTAAATAGTAGTAACATAAAGATCAGTAAAGATTTTCAACCATAACACTAACAGTCTCCAGCTATTGAGTCTTGACATCCTGAGGATTCCAGCCAGCCTGCCTCATACCATGGCCTGTTCTGGCCAACCCTAACTCTTTACCAACCTATTTCTATTTCACCTAACGTTCATAGTTAGGGGAGACGGTAGTTCAGCAGGCTTAATAAACATCTTAGTTGTTCCGATTGATACAGCATGACAGCCTCATTGGTTTACTCTCTAACACTGTATGCATGAACTCACTATTAGTGAACATTTTCCTCGAACTAACAAAAGAAAATGAATATGGACACCTGTGGTCAGAAACGTCAATCATCTCAGTATCTTCCAACTTCAGCGGATATTTCTTACAGATATAATGAAGGACGGGACAATAAGATGGATGAATATCATACCAGACCCAAAGATAACCTAAACTGGAGATTATCAAGCGATACTTCTTCTCTGTCCTCAAAATTTATTAGCAGTTAGTTCATTAGTGGTGATCTGGCTTTTCGAATAAGTGGAACGAAAAGGACATTCTAATGTCCTACTGCCCATCCCTAAACTAGGGAACCGGTGCGAACCAGTCTTAGAGCATAATCTTATATTTGACAGGTGTCAATCAAATGTTCGCCTGTTTTCCCATACCCGTCGCCACCTTTGATATGACCGTTATTACACTTGGTAGTTTGCACTAATGAATTCCCGATTGGCCAGCCCACTGTCTAATCACATACAACATCTAGAAAGTTCACTTCTGTCCGACTTACTTAAAAATACTACCCAGTTTTAAAGTGTACTTAGACCACTGGGTAGACTAATAGTTTCTGTATTATCAGTACTTGGCATACAGATTATAAGACAAAAATGTGTTTAGTTTGGTGACTGAATACCTTTCAATGACAATATCAACAGTGTCATTTATGCATAATACACCAATCTCCATAATGTTCACTCGTAGAAAAAACGAATATTAAGCCTAAATTTTTATATTCTGAAGTATTAGTTTTGTAGGGATTTTGTTTGATTGCATGGAGGATTTCACCATGAGCTGAAATCTTTGAGAGAACCACTGGAAACCCTGTGAGTACTGGACAGCTGTTTCGTCCTAGTTCGGGACTCTTCATCAGTACACACCCATCGGGGTTCGAACCCAGGACCTTCTGGTTACAAGGCGAGCTCGTAGACCATTGAGCCACTGGGACCCAATCCAATGGTCCTTGAATTCTAACTTTTGCCAATTCACGACATAACGCGACCATTTTGCAATGTCTTCTTCAATGAGTTACTGCCTAATCTACGAGCAAGCCTTGTAACCAGAAGGTCCGGGGTTCGAACCCTGGTGGGTGCTTACTGATGGAGAGTCCCAAACTAGGACGAAACAGCTGTCCAGTACTCCAGTGGTTCTTCAACTGATGTCAGCTCATGATGAAATCCTCCATGTAAATTTTTATAGTTTTGAACTACAACGTAGTAGGCTATGTAAAGTACACATCTTTTCTGAAATCAACAGAATAATTGTGGTTTTTATTGGCGGCGAACTTTGATTTATTTTTACTTCATCCCTCGTGAATAACCGGTAATGCCTTTTAGACGTTGTTTTTTTTATCAACAATGATTTTGTGCATATCTGTAAATGACTGGCATAAGAGTGATTGACACATGCAGGGATGGAAAATCTGTGTGAGTATAAGCCTGAGGCTTCCTGGTTACCAACCCAGACGGTGAAACTCACTTTAGAAAAAAAAACAAGACAACTTTCACCGCTCAGTGCTTTATACACTTTGTTCTGTGCAGCCAAAATGTGCGTGTCAGTCACCAGAGTCTCGTATTAACAGGAATAGGCAAGTTGACTATTAAATTTAATCCCATTTACCAAGAATGCACTTCCTAGGTTGATGCGATACACTGTAAGTATATAAAGTAATCAGCCGTTTGAGCTCTGAATGGATATAAATCCCCAATTGGAAAAACTTTACAAGATAAGAAGCTGAAGCCTATCCCTGCTCAGTCGCCTGATAGATTCCATATTGGGCATGTACTTTTGTTGGGTGAAATCCAAAAAGTTGTCAGAAGAAGCGGGGAAGACCAGTGGACTTCAAGTGAACACAGAGAAGACCCTGGTGATGAAAACTACCAACCCATCGGCAGGGACAACAACAAGTAGCAGTCACCAGCAACCAGAACAAAAAAGGCGAAACTGACCTTCATCACTGTGAAATCAGTCCACAAATCTCCTCTGCTCACCACGAAGAAAAAACTACACATTTTCAACACCATTGTCAAGTCATTCAGTCAATCAGTCAGTTCTTCTATATGTGGATCAGAAACGTGGCACGCCCATCACGAAAAGCATTTCCTACAGGCTACTGCAGACTTCTTTTAACAGTTGACTTCGCTACCTCCATATTGACTATCAGATGGCCGGTAGAAGGAGTTAGCAACAAGACAGTCTGGTGGAGAACCAATCAATCAAGAACCTATTGGTCAACCAGCAAATATTCGGAAGAAAGTGCAGATGGCTTGTACATACACTGAGGAGACCGTCGAATGATATCGGTCGAGCGAAACTAGAGTGGGAAACGACGATTCGGGAGCGTGTCCAAGGATGACATGGGGGTGGTGGTGACCGTGTGAGGACTAGATGAGAGCCTATGGGGAATTGTGGAGCCAGGTGAAAAGGAACCCAAGGGAATAATAATAATATAATACTGTATAGAAATCCTGACCAGTAATTACAGATACGAAGTAAGAAGCAGATCATATACTGTGTTGAGCTGAATAATTTATTTCAATGAATATATATTGCTATCAGAATGAAGAGTAAAGATTGAATTCTGTCTTGTTAAGGACTTAATCCACCTTCACATGTTTTTTCAACTGACTGACTGACTGAATATTCTTCATTCAGTATTATTTTTATTATTATTAAACTTTCCCACAATCCCACATTATGTCAATAATGATAAATGGCTTACACTGAACAACAGTGTTTCACAGCCCAGTGCCTCTGATATATATTTATATATATAAATGTAACAAATGACAAATTGTCTTATCGTTTGTGTATAACACATAGGCTATAATTCTTATTGGGACAATTAGCAAACATCTGCTAATGACAGATACTTATTTTCATCAAACATGTGAG